CACGTTATGTACGAGAAGCTGCAAAAGACACAGGCGCAAGTGGAATGTACAAAACATGGTGACATTAATTTTTAAGTAAATATAATGGGCGATATATTGCGTCACCAAAAATTATTGAGGTCATGTACATATATTGCGCGATAAGTCGATATATTGATTATTGCGACAGGCCTAGTAGTGTACATCAACTACTCTTTTTCGACCCATCAAACACAAGAAGAAAAATGTATCACAAATGTCAAATTAAATGTATAGATCTGAATTTCCTGTATTAGTGGTCTCTTGGTAGTGGTCTCTTGGTTTAATAGTAATGTTAATGTGTGCTGTTTGCAGAGACTGAAAAATGTCGTGGCTTTGGATATGTTACATTCTCAATGGAAGATGATGCACAGCAGGCCATAAAAGAAGTCAGAGAGTATGAAGGCGAGAATATATTTGTAACTGTGGCCAAGAAAAAGCCCGATAATAAGAAAAAGAAGAAGAAAGTAAAAACAGAAGGAGGTTAGATGTTTATGCTTATATTTTACTCCTGGATTGTTTTTAACACTCTTTTTCTGTCTGTAATAAATGAGTCTGAACTGTTCATGCAGATTCAGAAGATAAAAAGAATCCAAAGCATGAACCAACAGAAACCAAAAGTCCTGCAAAGAGTACAGGCATAAAGAAGAACAAACTGAAAGCTCGACTGATCATCAGAAATCTCAGTTTTAAGGTAAGTCAACTAAATACTGATGTTGCATAAAGGATAAATGCGCAGTTTTGACTTTTGAAATGTGATATTGGCTCATGAACTGATGTGCTTTATATGCAGTGTGAAGAAGATGATTTAAAACAGATCTTCTCTGAGTTTGGAACCGTGATGGATGCCAAGATTCCCTTAAAACCAGGTAAACGTTTGTCCAACAAGTGCATCTGACTGTTTTTAAGTATTTCTTAGGTTCTTTTTACCATTTTTTTTTTCATACGGCCATCCACCTTATTTTGATGGCATCATGTTTGTGCAGATGGAAAGAAGCGAGGTTTTGCATTTGTGCAGTTTAAGAATATGGCAGAAGCTGGAAAAGCTCTGGCTGCGATGAACCTGAAGGAGATCAAAGGTGAGTCTTCTCTTAACACTGAAGACTGCAGAAATTTCAGCTTTCCATCACAGAAATCAATTACATTTTAAACTATATTATAGGGTTGTGACGGTGAGGAAATTTTCCCACCGGTTAATCGACGTGTGACAACACCGGTGTCAATAGGCTTTTCAAAATCTAAAATATTGCCAAACAGGCGCCTTTGCATTTCCTTTCTAAACAATCTTCTGCCATCGTCTTGTCTTTCTCACCTCACTCTTGTCAGTCAGCTCGACTCACTCTCCTCACGTGATAAATAAAATCTGACTGCTGCTCCGTGGTGCACTGTCGTTCGCGCACGGTTCGGCATGCTGCATTGAGCGTTTAGTTTTTAAAAGTATCTGTCCTCTAACTGAACTAGGCTAAATTATTTTTGTTTCTATAAAAAAAAATCAAAATGACGGTGGGGGGCGGTGCCGCGTTAGGCAAATGACATAACCGGTGTTGCGGCTTAACACCGGTATAACCGAAAACACCGTCTATCGCAGCAAGCCTACTATATTAATGCAGATTTTTAAATTGCAATAATATTTCAGAATATTACTGTTATACTGTATACCAAAGAAATGTAGCCTTTCAAAAACATGAAAACAATCTTAATCATTCCAAACTTTTGACTAGGTGTGTATACTGACACTTCTAGTTTCACTTTTAGTATGATAAAATGCAATTAAATCCTTTGTAACAGACAGACAGGTGGCTGTGGACTGGGCCATTGCAAAAGACAAGTATCTCGCCAACCAATCAGCGGGAGCAGCTGGTAATGTGTATTTTCATTTAAACTCCATCAGCATCATTTATTTATGTGGATGTAGTTGTAAAAAGCTTTGAAGGTGCATCTACCCTCTAGGTTTTGTAGTGAAGTGTATCTGGATATCTTGTAGGAACCATCAAAGAAGAGAATAAAGGTGCAGGAGCTGATGGGAAAGAAAAAGAGGCCAAGAAAAAGTAAGTACAGGAAGTGCAACAAATCTAAAGTGTGTGAAGATGATTTCAGTGAATTGAACATAAGGTCTGTCTTGTGTTAAGGCCCACATTACAGGAAGAAAAAGATGACTCTGAGTCAGAAGAAGAAGAGGCATCCGAGGATGATGATGATGAAGCCAATAGTAGTGAAGAGGATGATGCCGAAAATGACTCTGAATCTCAGCAGACAGACAGTGATGCCAGTGAACCTGAAGACGACGAAAAAGACGACTACGATGATGATGACTCCGATGACACTGAGGGAAAAAGTAACTGTATTATTTATTTATTTATAGTAGTGCTATTTTAGTATGACTGATATACTATATCTAGGCCTGTCACGATAACAACGTTTTGTTGTGCGATATATTGCCCCAGAAATAATTGCGATAAGCGATATTATTGTCATTTTAGAGACCATTTTATGCCACTGAATATATAATCATAATAATGCAAGAAGGCCTACACACTTCCAAATGACAACAAACTTTTAATTTTAAGAATATTTAGATCGTGGAAATTAAGTATCAAAATATTAGATACCTTAAAAAACCTGAATAAATACTAAATAAACATTTTCTAACAAAAAGTGCAAAGTAACAAGTAGAAAAAAAGAAAAATGCTTAATAAATAGTAAATAAACATTTTCTAACAAAAAGTGCAAAGTAACAAGTACAAAAAAGAAAATTGCACAAAGAACTTGTATGGAGATTTTTCCATCTACAGATTTTTCCCTGCCCTTCTTTTCTCTGTAAATTAAGGGTGCACACTATTGCTGAAAAACACAATCACTACTTAGCAGTCAGATGTCCGTATGCACAAAGGCACAGATCCCTAAACAAGGCCATATCTGCAGATTAAACTTTTTTTTTAATTTGAACTAGCACCTCATGACTACACCACGTTATGTACGAGAAGCTGCAAAAGACACAGGCGTAAGTGGAATGTACAAAACATGGTGACATTAATTTTTAAGAAAATATAATGGGCGATATATTGCGTCACCAAAAATTATTGAGGTCATGTACATATATTGCGCGATAAGTCGATATATTGATTATTGCGACAGGCTTAACTATATCGTGTTGTTTTAGTATGATTGAAATTGTAGTTTTCATATATATTCAGAATTAAATTATATTTTGTTTTAGAACATTTTATTACCATAATTTTAAGCTTTTAACATTTTTTGTAATTTTTGTAAAAAAAAATGTTTATGTCTGTAAATGACTATAAATCTTCCTCAGCTCCTCCAAAGAAGAAGAGAGACCCTCTTCCTTCAGATGTGAATGAGGGAAGAACCATCTTCATCAGGTGATAATCATATAAGGAACTTCTCTTGTTGTATTTATAATCGACGTTTTTGTATGTAGGTATTCATATTTTTATTGACATATCTTCAATTTGGGTCCTGTTAGAAATCTGGCCTTTGACACAGACGAAGAGGGTTTGGAAGAAGTGTTGTTGCAGTTTGGTGAGCTAAAATACGTTCGTGTGGTGATGAGCGTAGACACAGGATATTCAAAAGGTAGCTTCAGTCATCAAAAGCCCGGTCTGTATGGAATCAGAGTTCTTTCTTTAAAGTAAGTCTCTCTATTTTTCCATGTCTGTCTGTGTTTAGGTTGTGCTTTTGCTCAGTTCAAAAGTAAAGAAGCGGCAGACAAATGTATCACTGCTGCTGCTGAAGATGAAAAAGAGGTGAGTTCGTTGTCCTGCAGCTGTTGTAAGAATTACACTGCATTATACCAGGCAGTAAACACAGGATTATTGTGCTGATGCATATGTGCATTTCAGTTTGGTGGCATAAGGGTTGATGGCAGGAGATTGAACGTTTTGCCTGCAGTAAACAGAGAAGACGCTGTCAAATTCAAGGACAAGAAAGTGAAAACTCACACAGGCTCCAGGAACCTTTACCTCGCCAGAGAGGGCTGTGAGTAAAGCCAGTCACAAAATGCTGCCAGTCAGCTGACCAATAACAGAGCTTAAAGGCAGGGTATGTGATTTTTCAAAAACACTTTAGAAAACTGATTCGGGCCGAATAGCAAAACAAACTTGTAGCCAATCAGCAATAAGGGGCGTGTCTACTCGTCTCGTGATGTGGAGGAGAGAGCTTTCAGTGCATGGGACGGACATTAGCCGAGCCGAGCGACAGAAAGACAGAGATGGCGGATAAAAAACAAAAGAAGAAAACGTCTGCGGAACGATAAGGCAAAGAAGTAGGACCCGTGTAAATATTGGATCAGCTTTCCAGCGCTGGAGAGAACTCAAGGAGCGGAGGCCTGCGATCGGACGCCGAGGTTGCTTTGTTTCTTCTCAATAGGTGAGTAACACCGTGTCTACAACAGCTAAAGTCTGCCTACACTGGACGCAATCAAACGACCGTTGAAAACCATTTGAAATGTGTGTCAGCACGGCATAAATTGAACCCGGCAGCAGTTTTCTGTCGGGATTTGTTGCGCCGCGCCGCTCACATCCGTAGACACGGTGTAACATTGGTTTTGCTTTGTTTCACAAAACTAATCGTTGCCTGGGTTGCGTACGTATATATGGGGCGGAGCTATCAAAATAGGGGCAAGACCCTTTTGGGGTAGGGGCGTGTTTGTTTTGGTGATTTCAAATATCAACATTGGCTACCAGAAATCACTTACTCTGCCTTTAAATTGGGTTAGCTAATAGCAGCAGCGAAGCGCATATGTGCACCTGATTTAACCTGTTACCTCTTGAACTTTCTCCAGTGATTCGTCCTGGATCCAAGTCTGCAGAGGGAGTTTCAGAAACTGACTTGGCCAAGAGGACAAGAGTGAGTATGAAGAGTATGATTTTGGGCATCTTTTTCATTATTATCTCTCGAATTTGATTGACCATTGTTATTACTTATTTGTTTATCTGTCTATATATATATATATATATATATATATATATTATATAATGTA